AATTACTCACAAAACTTACTTAAAATAAAGTTTGGAAGCGATCACATCATTCCCAGGAGTTATTATCAATGTATTACTTTTTGATAACCCTCTTTACATAGGTTTTAAATGATCTGATGGAGAAGAATACATTTATTGTTGTACTTATTCTACAATCCTTTTTCATAGAACAATTTTGTAAATTCAAATTAACTTCGTAATAAGCGTAATATAAGTTATATAAAATGTGTTAACATCCTCATAAAGAAGAAAACTTACAGCATAACTCAAGGGCTCAGATTGATTAGAGTGCGGTCTCTTCAAAAGATTTAAAACGTTTTAAAGGACATACTCGTACATATACGTATTAGTCAAATACGTTTGAAAATTATAATACGGACACATGTACGTAATAACCTTTCAAATGTTGTACTTATCTTTTTTAAATCTATTACGCCGTCCATTTTAAATTGGCGCAGCTTTAATATACGCTGGGTAAAGTTCACACAAAGATAGCGTTGGTAGTGCTTATAATGAAAATTTGGAAAGGGATTTGTGGGTCCCGAATGTGTCGTAAGAGGCGAAAGAGGATCCCGTCCCGTCCCGAGGGTGTCGTAAGGCGACAGAGGGGTTGGAACAGAATGGGCGGCAGTACCTTCCCGATAACAACGCGAAATAATAAGGAAACAGCGGCTGCCAGTCCGTCTGCCAGGCGTGCCAACTGTTGCTAATATCTTGCTCCAACAGTTCACTTTTTTACTATAATGAATGAATAAAGGGTGTGTTAGAAACTTTAACACTAACCATAGATTGCTATGGTAATATTGCAGCTATAGCAATACTAGTGTAGTTTAAAAAGCTGTTTATTTTTTCTCTTGAATTTTTGACGTATACATTCATATATCTTAATATATGAAAATCCCGTGCCACGATGTTCGTTCACGCTAATCTCCGAAATGTGTATTGCTTTTTGCCCAAATTGAGAGATAGGATAGTTTTTAACCAGTTAAGTTAACCTCAATGTTTTTATTGTGAATTTAAGGATTTTTTATAGGACCAATGAATGGTCTTTTTATAAAATACAGTTCTTTATTTCCACCTGCATTTAATTTTATTTTACTCACGCAAAAGGTTAAACACATAAACAGAATCTAAGGATTTTTTATATTTCTTTAAATATCTAAAAATTTATGAAGAATTGTCTGATGTATTAAATGGGTGATGATAAGTTGTTTAAAGGTCTTTAATTAAATAAAATAAAACATTTAGTAATTTTTTGTTTTAAATAAAAATGTTATTTTCAAATGCCATAGAAAATTAGTGTGATATAAACTTCATTTCTACTTATAAAATTATTAATTTTTATTAAAATAAAAAAAATCTTATAAAATCTAATTATTAATTACCAGTGTTGCCACCTCTTACATTAATTATACATTGACATCGATTGTTCATACTTAAAATTAAATTGTCAATGTCTTGTTGCGGTATGAGCTCCCATGTTCTTTGCAAGCGGTCGTAAAGTTGTTGTTCCGTCATCAAATTTAGCGGCAATCAGAGCTTTTAGGTTTAACATGTCCCAGGCATGCTCAATAGGATTCAGGCGACTGTGCAGGCCAATCCAAATTTTTAATATCGTGGTGTTGAAGAGAGACCGACACCAGCCGCGCCGTATTGGAAAGAGCATTATCGTGTATGAGTATTAACTCCTGCTTTATTTGGATTCTGTGTCTATCTCCTCGTGTTATTTTTGTGCGGCCATGCTGCCTTGGATCCAAACGAGATGAGTTCGTCTGCCAAGATGAATTCCTGCCCTCACCATGATTGTCCCTCCTTGGTATGAATGATCCTCCTGAGGGTGCCCTAGACGGCTAACTCTCCCTGGAGTTCTCCAAACGCGTCTCCTTCGTGAATCCAGAAGAAACCCAAACTGGGGCTCATCGGTGAACAGTCCCAAAGACCATTGTTCGTCACTTCATGGTAAATGCTCCCGAGCCCACGGAAACCGCCGACCGCGATGGACACGTCGCAGTACTGGAACACGTAGCGGTGTTCGAGCATGAAGATGGTCTTCATGCAACCTCCTACGCACGGTTTGGTCGCTTACCAGCAGCTGGTGATCTTCCTGAAGCTTTTGTAGTAGTTGCATCGCTGTGATATTGGGTTGTCTTCTGGCGGTCATTTGGAGAAATCGATCCTGTCTTTGCGTAGTAACACGATATCTACCCGTGTACCGTTCAGCCACATCCCCAGTACTGCGATAACGTGACCACAACCTTGATATCACCTTTTGACTGGTGTGTAGGACCTCATTTATTTAAGTAACAGAATGCAAAAAGTTTTCATTAATAGTATGAGCTTTTCCGGGTCGATTGTACAAATGGGCGTGCCTCAGGGATCATTTCTCGACCCCTTTCTGTTTCTTGTATATATTAATTACTTACCTTACATAGTAGGGGATAATCATGATATAGTATTATTTGCTGATGACACTTCGTTAATTTTCAAATTAAAACAACAGTTACTAAATTACGACGAAGTAAATAATGCTATAGCTAAGTTAGTCAATTGGTTTAATGTTATATTAATAATTTGCATTTAAATGGAACTAAAACTAAATGTATGAAATTCGTAACTCTGAATGTCAAACATATTAATACTAATGTAATTTTAAATGGGGAGGAACTGTATCTTGTTGATACCACCATTTTTCTTGGAATCACACTAGACGCAAAACTTCAATGGCTTCCCCATATATCAAAACTAGCTAGCAGACTTAGTTTTGCAGCATATCCTGTAAAAAAGATTAGAACCATACCATACCGTAAAAAAGATTAGAATTATACCAGTGTTGAAACAGCTAGAATAGTTTACTTTAGCTATTTTCATAGCATTATGTCGTATAGCATTTTGCTATGGGGACACGCGACTGACACTGAAATTATATTTGTTTTACAGAAGAGGGCCATTAGATCAATATACGACTTAAAACCAAAAGAGTTGCTCAGACAAAATTTTAAGGAAATTAATGTATTAACTATGGCCACGTACACAAAAATAAAAGTAGTTTTGCAAAAATAAGTGATATTCATTCTGTAAAGACAAAAATTTAAGGAAATTAATGTATTAACTATGGCCACGTACACAAAAATAAAAGTAGTTTTGCAAAAATAAGTGATATTCATTCTGTAAATACTAGGAGCAGACACAAGCTGGTAGTACCAGTTACTCGACTCCACCGAGTCAGTAATTCATTCTTGGGGCGATGTATACGCTTTTACAACAAAATCCCAGAAAATATACAAAATTTGACATACACAAAGTTCAAAAACTTTATTAAACTAAGTTTGTATAAAAAGGGTTATTATAATATTAAGGAATTTATGGATGATAATAACCCCTGGGAAGGGTGATTGCTACAAAGTTATTTCTAATTTGTTTTGTGTTGTTAATTGTAATCTATTTATTTTTTTTAAAATGTCCCGCTGGGTTTCTTGCTGGTTCTTCCCAGGACAGAGGTATTTTTTTGCGAACCAGTGGTCACTGAAAAAAGTTACTGTCAATGAGTATTGTTTATAATCTATATTGAATAAAAAAGTTTCTGTTTCTGCAACGACGCGTTGATTAGTACCATTTTCTAACATGCCCACGGCTCGTAACATTTCATCTCGACTCAAATGACGACGTGACATGACTCTTAAAGCTGACAAGGCACCTTAAATTAAAAAAAAGAAAAACAATCTAAATCCCTTTTCATTAATTAATATCAGTAGAACAATTTTAATTTTCCTTGAAGTAACGAATTACTAACAATTTTGCCGTTGTATTTTGTTTTCTTTTATTTACATTTTTAAATTTTGAAAATAGAATAAAAGAGGTTTCAATCTGTAAATAAACTTTTTATAGATACTAAAAAGATGTCTTTATGAAGGAAAAATTGTCCTGGACTCAAAAACGCGTTATTTACATATTATTTATAATTAAAATTGATATAGTTTTGACATCAACGGGAGCGGAAATATACACAAGATGGGCAGCAGCTTCTTCCTGTTATAGCTCAAAATAATAAAAATATGCAGGAGGCAATTCGCAAGTTGTGGCATCTACGACAAATATCCAACTTATTTGACAAACTATGGGAGGAATCTAATTAATGAACGGGAGTAGAAATATATTAGCCATATAGCGGCGGCGAAAAAGAAACCACTATTCTATTCTATTATATAGAAGTGCGTGTCGCAAAGACACAGAGGGAAACTAAAACAGGAGATGTGTGGGCAGCATCTTCCTGATAACAGTGCAAAGTAATAAATAGCTTCGGTTGGCAACCCGCTTGCAAGCGCAAATACTAGTGCAAATATCTGATTTGAATTGAAACCTATGGGCAGCAGTGAATAGGTACTCGTATATTAACAGTAATAAAGTAGCAGTGTCACATACACATCCCACTGCTGACCAAAGACCGCAGCGAGTTTTAGTACAAAAAGTAGTTGATTTGAGTTGACTCCTTTTTGTATGATTTCCGAAATATTATTTTAACTTCTTAAGTATGTAGGTTTCCTCGCGATGATTTTCTTAACTACCGAGAATGTGGTAGAAGTAGGCTTCTTCTTTGTTTTATTAAGTATGTATATATATATATATATATATATATATATATATATATATATATATATATATATATATACGTATAGATCGGTTCGATTATAACAACTGTTACTGGACACTATTAGCAAAAAACCTTATCAATTCAATTAAAAAGGGAGCAGATTTCGGCTTAATGTGTTCTAAATCGTTCAAGGTATCATCCCCTTTAGGTTTTCACCATTCAATATTTGGTATTAAAACCCAATACTCTTAATTACCTCTGACTAAGGTAAAGGAAGACTTCTTGATTGGTAAGTGGCTCAGGACCGTGCTTTGTGGCATTCCTTAGGAGATATGGGGCCTATGTTCAGCAGCGGACTTGTGAGGGGTTGTGATGGTGATGTTGATTGATATATAATGTGGGTACGTTGCAGGAGCGGCTCGTGTGACGATCACGTGCCCGGCGTGCCGGTTGCAGTGCCAGCCCGCTAACATGATCGACCAGCGCTTCGTGCTTGAGAAGATGGCCATCGAGCAGGCCGGCAACAACGGTGAGTTGTAGGCAAAGTGTCTCATTTTCATTCAGCTTTTGTCGGCTGCCGGAAATATTGCCGTGACATTGAAGTTTAATCCTCCGTTACCTCACGTCTCTTTCGCCTTTGGGAAATAGAGGACCTCGAAGTAATTACTTTTTACTATGTAAACGCTTTAAGACAAGCTAAAACTAAAAAAATTGGTTGATCCTGCAGGCCATCCCTGGAATTCCCCGCTAATTTCAAATGCAAAGCGTTACAAATTTTACCAAATGACGACGTTGAATATGAAATATATTTAATAATAAAATATGAAAAGCGCAAACTTGCTCGGTTGTTAAATCTTGAATTTATCTTAAAAAACGTCTAGTAGTTAGTTAGTACCAGTTCTGGCTCACTGAGTCAGAAGTGGTACAACGTTCGTCGACTCACGATCCTAAAAAAAAATAAAAGGTTTTGGCATGCTCTGATCACGAATCTGCGGTCCGTTTTTGCGTAGGATGCACGGTTCCGGAGATGTGCAGATCAATTAAATCTTATCTAATTGATATCCGGTGAGGGCCTCCACCTTCATTAGCGCCCCATTGTTATTTCTTTATTGTTCATTGAATACCGTCATTGTCTATTTTTCCTCGGCGTATGCGTCGGCTTATCAGTGCTATTGTATTATACTTCTTTGTTCCTATCTACAACGCTAATCTGAAACATCAATAAAACACATTACCTAATTTTGTTACAATTTTTATTTACAAAATACAAAATCTTATTACTTATTATCTATAAAATAGGAGCGAAACATCTCATCCACTAAAATATCGTTGTACAATGTGTTCCCTGTAAATATACTCGTAAAACTATGCATTGAACATCCCTGAAACTTATATAGCAAATACATTAAGCAATAATCGCCACAAACTGAAGTCCACTCATTCTGAATCCTATCAACATTCCAGTTCTCATCTTTTACAATTCCTTTTTAAAAACTCTAGATGATATCGTACAGGTGCTCGTCCATATCAATCAAAATATTGACCGACGTCATTCGTATCGATATATAAAGTTACCCAATGTGACCCTGGTTTGTCATCTGTATCCAAATTGCATATTATATACGTTGGCACGTGGGTGTACATGGGCAGTGTATTGGCAGCATAAACATTATTTTCTAGACTGGGGTGAACCTTTTTCAGATGTTGTTGTACATCTAGTGTATCCATGATATTACTGCTATTAGTAGATTATTACAGTACCAATCTACTCAATGACTAACATAGGAATGATCAATTATAGTGATTTCTAAATATTAAATTGCATTATTTTGTGTTATACAAAACGTATTTGAGTCATCAATACACTGAACAAGAACAACACGAAGTAATGCTGAAATAAGCAACAGAATGTGAGATAAGCTTGTTGACGCATAAAGTTACTATCAATTCCACTGCAGAAATTCTTTAGATTAGAATTATTACTTACTGGTACTATATAAGACCAAGCAACTTGTAGTGTTACATATCATTTTACACTATTTTAAATTTATTTTTCCATTCTGTTTTTGATTTTCTGCATTCACCTCAAAATTGGATATTTTGCATCACCTTTATTTCCATAGGATTCTGTAACGTTTTTAAACCATAAGAACACAATAACAAATCATTTTCACTTCGTATTTTCACGCTATCAGCAATTTTTAAATCGGTGTCGATGGAGTTTACCTTTTTCGATCTTTTATTTAGTTCTCCGTAACTATGCAATTTCGGGCTTCGTGCGCGCTGTTGCGCTACTTTTTTTTCTATATCAATAATATCTCATTTTTCACTTAAATATTGCCGTTTCTCTATTACGAGCCTGAAACCAAAATTTGACATGTTTTGACATCGTTGTTTATCTGGTTGTCATGGCAATTTTTATTCAAATTTTTATAAAAACTTCCACAAAAATACTCTTTTCTCCTTGGCCATTTACAAAAATTTGTTTTTAATTTAAATAATTTCCCGTTCTTATCTCAGATCCGACGTCGAGCGCGGAGCTCTCTAAAAAAAGTATAAAATCCGAACAATCGGCCAGTAAAGTTAGTCTCGCTTCAGCTTTCAAACTAGAAGCATCTCCTAAAGGCCTTATCCAGGGGCCGCGCTGCCCCGGGATCCTGCAAGCCTCTACCTTCACCTGAAGTCGTTGCCTAGCCACGCCTACGCCTCCACCTACTAGTGCCCGCGCTATCTTTAGCTGCTGTGCGTGCTTGCTCCAGGCGTTGCGAGCGCCTACTTCAGGCGCTGAGAGCATCTACCAAGGCGCTGTGTGTGCCTACTCCAGACGCTGCGTGTGCCTACTCCAGGCGATACGTGTACCTACTCCAAGCGCTGCGTGTGCCTACTCCGGGCGCTGCGTGTGCCTACTCCAAGCGCTGCGTGTGCCTTCTTCAGACGCTGCGTGTGCCTAGATCAGGCGCTGCGCACTTACCACAGGCACAGCCTGTGCATACTCCGTGAGCGGTGAGCACCACTGCCAAACGCGGTGTGCCACTTTGGTCTTCGGGCTCCGTTTCAGTACTCACTTATCTTTATTATTTTTTTTTTAAAATAATTGTAATTCACGTCACCCATCATCATCTTCATACTTTTTTTTTTATATAAAACTAAACATAAATTATTCGTTTTTGTTCTATTTTTGTTGTTTCGTTGTTGTTAGGTTAGGTTCTTTAGTTTTTAATTGTCGCTTCGCGACAAACTGCAGTCATGGAGTTAGTGTATGGTCGTTTGACCGCAGTGGATCTATCAATACTACATTTTTGTTACTTCAACGCATCAAAGGCCATATATGTAAGTGTTTATTCTATTGACAAACTTACCTTTCTTTCTGTTATTTTCTTACGTGTGTATGATTTAGTGTTAACAAATTATATTTAAATATTGTCTGTGTATATGATTAAGCCGTGGTAGCTCAGATGGTTAGCGCAATCTGTAAATTTCCAGTACGCGACCCGGGTTAGATCGCCGCCGGCACCAATTAAATTGTTAATTGCAATTTTAAGTGTTTATTCTATGGACAAACTTACTTTTCTTTCTGTTATTTTCTTACGTGTGTATGATTTAGTGTTAACAAATTATATTTAAATATTGTGTGTGTATATGATTAAGCCGTGGTAGCTCAGATGGTTAGCGCAAGCTGTAAATTTCACAGTACGCGACCCGGGTTTGATTTCCGCCGGCACCAATTAAATTGTTAATTGCAATTTTAAGTGTTTATTCTATTGACAAACTTACTTTTCTTTCTGTTATTTTCTTACGTGTGTATGATTTAGTGTTAACAAATTATATTTAAATATACGCCGTGGTAGCTCAGATGGTTAGCGCAAGCTGTAAATTACACAGTACGCGACCCGGGTTCGATCCCCGCCGGCACCAATTAAATTATTAATTGCAAATTTAAGTGCTGATTTACCACGTGCTCGGCGGTGAAGGAAAACATCGTGAGGAAACCTGCATGTCTGAGAAAATTTCGAAGGCATGTGATGTCCGCCAACACGCATTGAGGCAGCGCGGCGCACATTTCCTAGCCATAAATACAAAGACAATAGCAGAAAGTGAAAAAAATACTTTTTTAACAATGACAGTCATTAGTTGATCATTAGTGAATGTGATTATGTTTACTTAAATTACAGAAAGACAAGAGCAGAAGGAAGAAATGGGATAATGGGAAATAATGATGCATTGTTATGTGAAGTTTGTTGGAACAGACATATTTTTAGTCACGTGTAAATACTTTTAACATTTTGGTTCAATATGACACAAAATCTAAAAAATATTAGATACATCATCGATATTGACGGATTTTACATTACATATCCTCATAAACATTTTCAATGTAGAGAAATGGCTATTCTAGACGTAAAACTATCTAATAAAAATAATGCGTTTATCGATCATTATTTGTTTCGGCCAAGTTATCCTTTCAATTATTTGTCGCCAAAAGACAAAAAAACTGTTCGTTATTGTGAAACACACGTGCACGGCATTCCATATTTTGATGTAACCGAAGAATTAAAATGTGCCTACAAACAAGAGAACATCATCCCCATATTAAATTGGTATATTAGAAATTTGTGCAAAGACGAAGGGATCGCATACAAAGGTGGTTCAACAGAAAAACAATTTTTAAAAATGTTGACGACGAATGATAGAATTTCTATTATTGAAGAATACAAATGTCCAAAATACAATGATTTTGTAAATGTGATAAATTTAAACAAACGTTATGTGTTTATTAATCATATATTTGCAAAAAATAATCACAAGATTTTACGTTGTTCTTGTGACGAGATGTGGGATTTTTACGTGGTTATTGCTTGAAAATAAAATTTTAAATTAATCATAAATTTTGTTTGATTTTCGAAAAACATTAGTTATAGTACACAATATATACTTTCATTTTTATTTCACCTCTTAAAACTTTAGACGTGTGTAATGTTTCACTTTATACATCCGTTTACTGCTATTGTGGCGGGACCAAGTGGATGTGGGAAGTCAAATTTTGTAACAAATTTAATAAAATAATATACAGAAGTATGTAATTGTGATTTTAATCAGATCACATGGTGCTTTGATGAAATGCAACCTTTGTATAATTTACCAAATGTTAACTATCATCAAGGAATTCCGAATCTTAATATGTTTGATGGTGAAAACCCACATCTCGTTATTATTGATGATCTAATGAGAGAGTCCGATGGAAGAATTGTGGATATATTTACAAAAGGTAGTCGTCACAGGAATCTCAGTTTATTTTATTTAACACAAAATTTATTTCATCGGGGTAAAGGACAAAGAGACATATCTTTAAACTCAAGTTATATAATATATTTTCAAAACCCTCGAGATAAAACTCAAATAAGATATTTAGCACAAGTGTTACCAGATAACTCAAAATTCATTGAAGATGCCTACAAGGATACAACTCTAGAGGCACATGGATATTTAAAGGTAGATTTAAAAAACAGAATACCAAAGATTTTTGTCGTA